AGAGCTCCACAAGTCCTTGAAATACTTTTTGTTGAAGACAAAACATTATCAGCAAGCAAGAAATATATACATAATTTCAACGAATAACAAAAATATTAAATCGTTTATTTTTATTACTCAATGATACTTGGATTCAGCTATAAGATTTTTTTAGTATTATTTTTGTTAAACATGATCTACAAGAAGTTTGAAGTATATAGAATACAAATACTTTTCTTCTCTCGTAGACCATGACAGACATTATTATAGGAATATCACAGATAGAGAATAATAAATCTATCATAATTCTAGTAAGCGATGTTGGCAAGCACTGGGATAGAAATTAAAGAAGGTATGAGTGTGGGTATAAATTTGAGTTAAGCGATACTTGTATCAAGATCCACATTCACACTCATTCTAATGCCTTAGATGCTATGGTTCGTATGATATTGACGTAAATCATGTGTAAATAATTCAGATTTTCATTACAAAAATGAATTGGATTATTCACTTATTTTTTCACAGTTTTCATATGGATGATAAACTTACGCATTCGATGTTATTAATTATTCATTGTTCATTAGTGGTTCTTTATTATTAGTAAAACTATATTTACTTTAGGAGATTACCCAAAGTTGTGTCATCGTTAAATAAAAATACGATGATAAGAAGATCTTTTCAATTCTATTTCATCAAATGATGATAAATGGAGGATTATAAGACTGTTTATAGCAAATTCAACATTTTCTGATAATTTGTTGAAAGTTTTTTCGAAATAGTTTTCAAAAAAACAAAAAAATCTTTAGCTATCTTGGGTATCGCATGAAGTTCACTTATGTTTTCGTTTGTTTAAAAATTTAGAGGAATTTTATTAAACCGTGTGAGTTGCATCCTAGTAATACTATTGATGAGAGAGATGGATTTATTTTAGATAGGTAAATCAAAACTCATCTGATAGATGTATCGTATTGAACTATTACTGTTCATAAAGATAGATTTGAATCAAAATTTTGTTTTCATATGTTCTATAATTCATTCATAAATATTATGTTGAATATTGTCTTGAATCCTTTTTCTAATGTAATATAAAATAAATAAAAGCATCAGACTCAGAATGTATAAAATTTCTTAAGGATCATTTCTCAATTTCAACTTATCCGATGTTACTATATATTCAATAGAACAAAAGCATCTATTTAATGCCACATCAGTCATGATTAGCCATATGGAATATTACACAATCTCGAGTTAAATAACTCTATTGAACAACGTTTAAATGTTTCAAAAATCGCTGAAATGCTCATAATTCCTGCAGTATCCAAAATAGCTACAATTTCTCTTTTTTTTGAAAACTATTTCAAAAAAACTTTCAACAAATTATTAGAAAAATGTTGAATTTGCTATAAACAGTCTCATAACCCCCATTTATCATTGTATTTTGATTTAATGATGAGACAACTTTTGGTAACATCTAAGTTAATAAATTGTTCGTGACATATGTATGCACATATGTTTTTTTACTAGTATATTTCTTGTCACAAGACTACTGAAATACATCAGTAAAAAAAATGTATACCTTGTTTTTAATCTAGTTCTTAAAACAATTCTCATGAAAATTTTTGTTATTATTATCTAATTCAATTTATTTGAGTCATTGTTACAAGCAATCGAATACTTTTTAAAATTTTTTGCTTGATTAACAATTGTAATTATTTATAGATAATAATAATAAGAAATGGCAAAATGTATCACTTTTATTTTCAATAGTAAAGTAAAATTCATGTACATATTCGAATCATGATTTTGTAAATTGTCTGTCTAATGGTAAAGAGTGCAGATATCAAAGCTAGACGAGTGATAACTATTTCAAGTTTGTCTTTAGAAATCAATACCGTAACAACATTCGATAATGTTACAAAGGTGTATTTTTTTTAACATAGAAAGCAAGAAATAGTTTAAGAGCAGAAAAATGAACACTATCCATTTTTTTGTCCTCAATTTTATGTAAAAGTATTCTCATTTATAATATTCGACAATTATGTTGTCATAACATTGAACACATACTTCCAAATAATCCTATTTGAACTTCTTGATATAATTTAAATTATAATGAGAAACAAAAAAATTGTTTTTCTTTCTATCTGTTTTCTCACATTTATTCAATACAGATGAAGAATTACAGATTTAAATAATAAAATATAACTACGTAGAACAAGAAATAAAATGAAAGAGTTTAAATTACTTGTTATACATATAAGCATGAGATAACGAAAGAATATCAATATGACTAAATCAATAACAAAAACATTCGAAATTTATAGACAATGCGAACGAATAAATTTTAAATTTTATTTTGATAAAAGTTCTTTTTTTCAATGTTGAATGATTTAGTAATATGTATCTATTTTATAAATGAATGAATCTGATTATATACAACACCTAATAATATCGTCTTCGTTATGATTTTCATTCGTAACTAAAATAATTTATTGCAGTGTATCGAATAAACTAATTGAAAATTTTTTTATTTTTCATTTTAATATTGTTGATCATAAGAATAATTATAATGTTTTGAGAATCTCGTTCGATGAATTGTGTTTGTATATATTTGATGTAGAAAAATAAATAAAATTGACTACGATTATCATAGATTTATTTTGTTTATTTTTTGTAATTCAAAAACAATGAAGAATAGGACGTAAAATTTTAAGAGAGAGATATGTCTATGAATTTATTAGACAATATAATTTCAGTTTTTAATATGTGTCAAATTCAGGGCTGCCATCTGTTCAGGCTTAGAATGGGATACAAAAATTTCTAAATGGGGTACATGTGAGGTACAATACTATTCTAAATGGTGTGCGTCCATGGGGTACACAGTTTTCTATTGAATAACAAGCAGTGTCAATGAGAAATCGATTTTGAAAAGTATTTTTAGCGTAAAAAGATTGTTTCCAATTTTGTCTCGGCTTTGAAAATAGTATTTAAATTCTAATATTTATTTCGAAACAAGTAGTTCACAAATACATTTTTTCTTTCGACATATATCTGTTCAAAAAACAATAAAAAAATATTCACTTAAAGTAAATCTTCTCTGTTTGCATTAGCTAATACACGTTTTTTTACATAACTGTATTTCTGCTTGCTTTTAGCAGATTTAATCAATTCTGGTTGAGATTGTGCAAAAGAATAAAAATCTTCACATTTTATCTTGCTATTTAATCTTATCTTTAATTCAGTAGCAATTGTTTCAGTCGACATCGAGTTTTGACTTGGTGTCCATGCGTGCTTCATATGACTGAAGACACCTTCAGCAAATGCATTTGAACAAGGAATCGAATAAGCATAGGCAAGAACTTTCGTCATTTCGCTGCATAAAGTTGTTGATTTTGTGAGCAGATATGCCCACAGTTGATCAAATCGAATCTGATTTTCTTTTTCATGAATTTCAATTGTTGGTTTATGAAAAAGATCTTGTTCATCCTGTGATTCATTATTTTGATCATTGATTATATCTCCACTGAAATTATGAGCATCATCACCGATATATTTTCGAATTTGATCACTCAATGGTTCACGGTATGAATTGACTTCTTTGAATGTGGATTGTAAAATATTCAATTCATCGAATAATTTATCATGATCAACTTCCAACTTGAGAAAAACGACACACTCTTCAATTTGATGAAATTTTATTTGATCGATTTCACGTATGCCTAGAAAAATGAAGCTGTTCTCTTATCTAATTATCACAATAAAACATACCAAAAACTGCAGTTAATTCAGCCAATTCGGATTGTTCATCATAATATTTTTCAATATATTTAATTACACTAGACACATAATCGATAAATGATTGATTCAGCTTTTTTCGATCTGAATCGGGCAATGAATTCAATAGAATTTTCGTTTGATAACCAAAATAATTTTGTTTCAATCGGTCATTAAGTTTGCTAAGATGACTAGTGATGATTCTACTCAAATCAACAATAGAAACGTAGTATCGTTGCAATTCCAAGCTCTTTTTCTGTAAATCAAACAAAACATTGTGCAAAAAATACACTGTACATTTGGCTTCAGTAGAAGTAAAAAACATTGAAATTATTGGTGGACATGGAAAAGCATCTTCGTCACCCAAATCCAAAAAATAAGCAGATAATGAATCAAATACTTTGAGTAATCGTTCAATAGACGGATATAGGCTAAGCCAACGAATATTGATGTGTTTCAATAATAACTGAATATAAAAAACATTGATGACTATTAATAATATGATATATGCTTTACTAAATGATCTTGCTCGACAAAATCAAAGTACTCTTTGAGAGTTTCTACTCGTTTTGTTGAAGAAGAAAAGTGACCATAGAGTTTTGACAAAATTGATTCAACATCAATGACCAAGTGTATATGTGAAGTTTTAACTGCATTATTTAGGACATGTGAAAAACAATTTCCTAGAAGAAAACATTATTATTAGGGGCATGTGTATTTTTCTTCAATAGCAAAACACCTTTCTTTAGATGTGGAATATCAGATTTCAACAAAGAAAAAACAGAATGAATTTGTCCATAATTAACGTTTGTATTATCAGTAGACTTCTGCAAAATGGTCACGGTCACGGTCACGGTCACGGCCTCTCGTGACTAGTTTTCGAAAAATTGTCGTGACTGGGATCGTGACCGTGACCAAATAGCTCGTGACCGTGACCAAATAGCTCATGATCGTGACCAAATAGCTCGTGATCGTGACTTAATGGTGAAAAATTTTGAGATTAGAAATCTAATTTTTGTGAAAAAAAATCAAGATTTTAATTGATTTACGTGTTTTCTGCGTTTTTTACAGAGAAAATATGTGAAATCAATATAAATCTTGATTTTGTAGCACAAAAATCCAGCTAGTAATCCAAAATTTTCGTGACCGTGACGTGACCGTGACTAGTTTCGAAAAATTTCCGTGACTATGACCGTGATCGTGACCAGGCAGCTCGTGACCGTGACGTGATCGTGACTAGTTTCAAAAAAACTCCGTGACTATGAACGTGACCGTGACCAAGCAGCTCGTGACCGTGACGTGACGTGACTGAAAAAACGTGGTCACGCAGAAGTCTAATTATCAGTACCAATTGATGTCATATTCTGAATATCAATATTATTCATTTGCAATACTTCTCGAAGTTAAGCAACAATATGATCAGCAGTTTCATTAACTAGTTCAATTACTTCAATCACTGATCGTTCGATACCACGAACTGTGAAGTAATTTACAACGAATGGAAACATTTTCTTGTGACCTTTGTTAGATGCATCGAATGATAAAGAATAAAAACCGGATTTATTAATCATTTCTGTAATTTGAGAAGTCATAAATGGAGCTAAAAAAAGATCGTAAAAAAATAAGAAATATTCGTCTAACGATCTTTACCCTTCTTCTCTAATTGGCCAGTATACTTCTGTTTTAGAAACGAATTATTACTCACCTAAAACATTAGCAGCAATTTCACGAGCTTTAGTTCGTCCACATGTGAGATTTTTTCCAACAGTTGAATCTTGAAACAATTTCTTTGAGACATCAGCAGTGCATGCCTGACTCAAATAGCTATGTCCATGACGTATTCCGTGATAAACTAATGTGATTTCAGCAGCAACCAACTTTGTCAATTCAGTCGAGTGAGGAATAAAATCAAACATTGAATGTGCTAAAAGACAATAGATCAACATAATCAGTATTCTTTTGAATTAATAAACAAACTAAATTACATTTGTGTTTAGCTTCTGCTGCTACTAGACGCTTGTGATTCGCTTGTTCAAGATGACGATCGATCAAATACTTCCCACCATTAGCAATTGAAAAATTCGATTTACACACAGAACAATGTGCAAGTGATGAATCTGTTCGACACTCTTGTAAAAATGATGCATATTTCGAAATTTTAATCCATTCTTTGTTGAACTTGCAATATCTTTTTGATTTTGATGAAGAATTCAATGACTTTCTTTCTATATTGAAAGATAATCTAGACATAGAACTTGATGTTTCTTTTGGTGTTATTGTTTTTTCAAATTCGAGTATCATGGAATCATTCTCTTCCTCAATGACTTGAGGGTGTGGGTTTGGGTTTGATCTTCTTGCCACCTACCCACACCCACACCCACACCCACACCCTCAAGTTTCTCAGAGCTATCTATAAGGAATTACGATACCTTCGACAGTACTTTTGGACTGATCTAAATATTTCAGAGACAAAACTTCAACTAACACTGATTCTTTAGTATTTATACCAATTCATTCTTATTGTTTATTTTATATTTAGATAACCTAGAATTCAATATACTTGTTGTCCTCCTTTCAGTGCTTTTTAATTTCTATGAATATCAGATAAAGTGAGAAAACAATTGAAGAATAGATATCTTTTGAAAAAAAGTTGTTCAAATAACCATGCATATGTCAATTAACTTATTTATTCAAGGAGTCATAGAAATGAGGAAATCTCTAAAAAAATAAAGCTCAAAATATCTTATTGATTGAAACAAATATTAAATTAAAATTAGAAAAGATTTAACAAGAGAAATAAAAAACAGTAGACATACAGTTTTAATGCATAACACTCAAAATTCACAAGTATTACTATAAATTAAATATAGACGAACTCATTTCTACAAATGAAAATTTCATCACTTAAAATTACGTTCTTCCAACCAATAAAATAATCTTTGTCATCTATTAACTTTCTTAGTAACTGCACTGATCTATGATTCATAGAATCTATGCAGATATCATTGATTTTTGTAGAAAATTTGTCAAGTCAATGATTTCTGATACTAAACCTATGGATTTTCAGCGGCAATCGGGCGTACTTTAACACTCATTTCAAATCAAATTTTACAACATTTAACTTCGCTTATTGTTTTTCTGACAATTTTCTTTTTTTTTTTTTTTTAAATCATCGATATAATTCATTTATTATTACTATTTATTCATTGATTAAACCAATAGCATAAAGAATATTTTCTTTTGAAAATTTTATATGAAATATTGGAATATTTTTTGTTTTAAATAAATTTAAAAGTATTTTATTTGATGATGAATTTATATTAATTTTATCAATTAATTTTTCATCATAAATTTTTGTTATCATAAAATAATTCCATAATGAAATACTTGAATCAATACTTGATATTAATAATAAACTACCTGTTAATGGACTAAATTCAATTGATGAAATAGCTTGTTTATGTAAAAATAAATGTGCTATTTGTATATTATTTTGAATATCCCATAAAATAATTTCACCATTCCAACAACCTGATACAAGAAAATGTCCATTAGGTGAAAATCGAAGTGAACTTATTTGATGACGATGACCATTAAAAATTCTAACAAGTGAATTTTCATTATGAATATTCCATAAATGAATTGTATAATCATTATGTGTTGAAGCAAGATAATATGAATTCGGATGAAATTCAACAATATTAATTGGACCACTATGTCCATATTCCGGATATATTCGAAATGGACTTATTTTATCAAGTGTCCAAAGACAAATAAAACCATCAATACTACATGAAGCAAATATATAACCATTTAAAGCAAATGTAACTATTATACAAAAGAAGATAAATAGAAGTTTTATTAAATCAAAAAATTTACCATTAAGTATAGGTTGAAAATGCATTTTATATACAACAAGACATGACCAAGTAGATAAATGCCATAAACGTATTGTACAATCTTGTGAACCAGATAATAAATATAATTGTTTATTTGGTTCAAATGCTAATGAAAATATACTTGATGTATGTCCAATAAGTAAACGTTCATTTAATATATTTAAACATGATGTTATATCAAGAGTATTATTTTGAATATTATTTTTATTTGTATAATTAAGTAAATAACGAAGTTCTTTTGTTGATTTCATTGAATATAATTTATTATTAGGATTTAATGAACAAATTAATATTTCTGATGTTTGAAAACCAATAGCTAATAGATGACAATCATTAGATAAAGTTACACAATTAATTATTTGTCTAGAATTTTTTAATGAATATAAACATATTGAAGGTAATTTATGTGGACTAAGACGTGGTATATTATTTAAATCAATACAATTAGAAAGACGATTATAATTAATTTGTGGATATAATAATGACATATCTTGTTTTGGAATTTGAGAACATTGAACTAAAAATATTATTAAATTGTTAATAAATAAAAAAATCATCATAAATATTTCGAACAATTCAAATAGTTCATTATGAAAATTTTTCACATTCTTATAAATATAAAAATTTCTGTAACAAACTAATCAAAAATGTAATATTTCATATTTCTATATAGACTTATGATCTAATAATTTTATTAGATATCATAGTTATGAGTTACACATAACATCAATTCAATTATTCTATCTAATTATTAAATTTATCAAATGATATATTTAATCATAAAATTTTATATTACCTAATAATCGATTATATTCAATTGATAATGATTGTAATGGAAAAATTTCAGTATATAATCGTGTAAATTGTATTGTATTAGCAATTTTAATATGAACAAATATTGGTGTCATTGGTTGTTCAATAGTTTGAAAACGAACAATATTTGATCGAGTAAATAATTGTTGATTAATATCAATTTTAATATATTGTTGAAAAAAAGATAAAATTAAAGAAATTTGTGATGATGTTAAATAATATTGTGAATTAAATTTTATATAATCAATAAAATTTTGTAATTCATTATAACTTGTCATTGATAAACGTAAAAAAAATCTACTTGTACGAAATGCATTTATTAATGAACATTGATAAATATGTTTAGATGATTTTGAAATAAGTTTTAATTGATAAAAAAATTCTTTATGTAATAAATAAAATGTTGAATGAATAAATTTTTTATAAAAATTTTCACATTCATTTATATAATTATGTTCAATTAAATCTAAATAAAAATGTACAAATAATGGAAATAAACATTGTATTAATTCTATTTGATATGATGAATTAAATATAAAATTTGATAAACATGAATAAATAACAAAATAATCATTAACATTTAATAAATTATGAATATATTTATTATCATTAGTTAATGAAATTTTATTATTAAGAGAATAATATTCACGATAAAAACATAATTCAGTCTGTTTCATATTATTTTGTTGTAAAAAACGAATAAGTTCAATAATATCAGGTGAATATTGATGATAAAAACTTTCCATTGTATTATCCATATCTATGATTGTTAATTATAAATTAATGAACCCGGCTACGCGCCATTTTATCTTATCAAGTAATCACAAATAAATTAGATTCTTATTTTTCTAAATCTTTCGATTGATATTCGATAATAATAATATAGTAAAATTTATTTAGAAATTTTACTTCGTGAAGAACTTGATTTATATAGAATTTATGAAGCTCTATTGAACTTCGTATGAAAGTGCATAACTTCTTATTTCTATTTCTGAACATTATCTTTATTGAATGATTGCTTTATTTTTTTGTACAGAATGAAACAAATAAAGATTATTCATATAAATATGATTATTATCTTTTATTTAATTATGACTTTTTCTTTTTTTCAGTGATAATGTTTATTTTTTTCTAGTTATTATCTACAATACAAAATAATCAATAATTATTGATAATTTCATTATCTTTTAATAACTAATTATTCAGTTCACTTCTTTTTTTTTTCATTAATACAAAATTATTGATAGAAAATATTTTTTGATCTTTTATGTTATGTGCCAAATACAAAAATAATTTTATAGCACAACTAATAATTTTTCATTGGAAATATTCTTGTTTCATAATATATTATTTGTTCATTCATGTATATTCTTTCTTCGAATGTTTCTATTTCTACGATGTGAAAGGAAATTCAATTTCCTGTAATATCAATAGACTAATCATTATCGCATTACATACACACCGTCAACCGTTGAATTCCAAAGCTATCCATCATCTCCTTAATAAGCATATGACACAAAAGATAAACTAGAATATATTTGTCAATAGTTATTATAGCTGATTTTGTTTTTGCTCGTTCGTATGAATCTTGTTGAATGATAGACTATAACAAGGCATGATTCTTTTGGACAAGTAATCTATCGCAGAAAATAAATAATACAAGCACAACAGAAGATATGAGATTAATGGTTTTTTTTCCATTCTCCATCTGGTTTGTTTGCATGTATAGTCTTGTCGTCAGGCGGGAGGTCGTCTACTGACAGGAAGGCAAGAGAAAAAAAAAGGGAGAGCAACTACACACATACACACTACCATCCAATAGAAAAACATTTTCTTATATTTGGTTAGACGAACGAGAGAAAAATGTGTGCGTGTGTGTCTGTATTATGCTTATATGTTTTATATCTCGAATGTCGTTTATTTCTTTCTTTCTTGATTTATTTTAGGTATCTTTACGTACACGAGAAGTGACTACTATTTACTTAATAAAATATTACTAAAATTTGTTTCAGATAATTTTCCATTAAAGATTAAATTCTAACAATGTCAATTCTTTATTATACATTTAATAATACAGTTTTTTCTAATTTTGCATTTTATTCAACAGCATCAGTTGTTAAAATGATGGGCATGTCTCTATTAACAGCTGCTAAACGATTATCTAAAGATGTAAAATTAAAATATAATAAAAATTAATATTTATAATTTATATATTGTATTTTTGTTTTTTTAATTTTATATTCTAGGTTTTTGCTAATCCTGAAGATCTTGTATTAGCAAAAAATAAATCAGCTGTTGTTACAATAAATGATGATGTTGAACGTGTTCGTCGTAATCATTTAAATGATATTGAAAATATTATACCATTTGTACTTGTTGGAGTATTTTATGTTACTACAAATCCTGATCGTAATGTTGCTCTTTGGCATTTTCGAATCTTTTTTATTTCACGTTTATTACATACACTTACATATCAAGTATAATTTTGTATTAATATTTTTGTTGACAAATATTTATTTTTTCTTTTTTTGAAATATTTTAGTTAGCTTTACCACAACCAAGTCGATTTATTGCTTGTCTTGTTGGATATCTTACAACACTTTCAATGGCTACACGTGTTCTTCTTACTGCTCATCCATAAAAAAAAGACATTTTGATTTACAATTCAAAAAAAAAAGTTTATCTTAGGTTCCAATTCATAACTTTAATTGATTATTCATCTTTATACAGCAAACATATTATTAATCTAGATCTTAGTAGTGTGACACATTTCTTAAAGAAATAAAAACAACAAAAAAAAAAAACAACAAAGTATTACAATACTTTATTCTAATTTTTCATTTTCTTATCATAGATTATTTATCTATTAAATGTTTTTAATAATCTTCGAAAGAGTCTATGAATTAGATAAGAAATTCTCTGAAAAATCATAAATGAATATATTTGACAACAATGTTTGATCATACCTAATGTTATACAAACAAAAACAACGTTTCTCTCAATTAGAACCTGTTAGATCTTAAATTTTCGCATATACAGATCTCAATCGGTTCTATGACTCAAGCAGACAAACTATTGAGAAAACATATTTAAACGAACAGAACTCGACAAAAAGTAGACGTTTTTATGCGTTTAAACGTGTTTTCAGACAAGAAACTTGTGTACACAGATATAAAAAAAGAGAAAAAAGTTATTGTAGCTTTCCAACTCGAGAAACTTGACTACAATCATGATCATCCATCTAGCGGCGTAACCAGAGTTTTGGCGATGGTAGGGCTCAGCAACGCTTAAATATCCGGTGGTAGGGCTCAGGTTACTGAGGTCTGTGTGGTGGTAGGGCTTGTGAAAGGATTCAGCTGACGATGCTAACACCGGTGGTAGGTCTGAAAGGTCGGGTGGTAGGGCTGAGCTCCCCTGACCCTACCTTGGTTACGCCACTACATCCATCTTTGCATGCGTTTTCTCAAAAGTTTCTCTGTTTGAATAGTCTATTTTCTGTTGACCTACATTTTATAATCGACTTTTTACGACATCTATATAATAAACTAAAATTATTAATATAATTCAAAATATAAAATACTATTATTTTTATGAAAATTTATTATCTAATATACATTTTAAAACAATTTAAAAAGTGATCTAAAACTAACTTTAAAAAAGAGGTAAAACGATAGTAACAATATAAAACTAAAAATGATTGTAATCAAAATACATCAATTACTAAAACGAAACTGATTTTATAATAATAATAATAATAAAAATTCAATTAAAATATTATGTCAATTGGTGAAGAATCTGAAGAATCATTTACATCATTAACTGATGATGAACAATTAACAATAAGAAATATTGATGATAATAATGATGATGATATTGATAATGAACGTCATCAATATGATCAACATGATAATGATCATGATTTTATTCCATTTTCAGCTCGTGGTATACCACCAGATGAATTACAAGCAACACATATAAATCATTATCATGATTTAAATCGTGTTAATATTGATAATCGAGATTTTTCAATAACACGTCCATCACAATCATGGTTAGCACAAAATGGTTTAATACCAAATGGTCTTACATTAAAAGATTTATTAACTAAAGGTAAAATATCATTACCAACAAGTGATAAAACAGGTCATGCTATACAACATATTACATTTGATTCATTAATAATTAATGATTTTGAATGTCGTTTACATACAACAATTGAAACATTATCAAATCGTATTCGATGGTTATTACAAAATAGTCGAAAAATTTTTGGTGTTATACAAGGTTCACGTATACTTGTTATATTAGATTTTAGTCAAGGACAAGCAAGTTTTGGACGTGGTGATGAATATCATAAAAATTTATTAAAATTAATTGATGAACAATTAATATATAAAGATCAATTAGGTTTTATAGCATATGGTACTGATATTGATCCATTATGGAATGGTATACGTGATGTTAATACACGTACACTTGATGAATTACGTGCATGGTTAGCAAATTTAAAATCATCATTTGGTTGTAGTGATGAAAATTGTACGCATATGGATAGTACATGTCCAAATAATAATAATAAATGTGCATTTAAAACTAATGGTAGTAGTAATTTATTAAAAGGTAAAATAAAAAATAATTTATTGTTTTTTTTTTTTTTTAAATTTCGAAAAAATTTTAGCATTACGTCGTGTATCATTAATGTCAGATTTTGATACACTTTTACTTATTGTTGGAAGTTTACCTGATCAAAATATTGATATTATTGCTGATTATACATCACAATTATTTTGTGGACAAGATATACCACATATACATGCTGTTTCATATGATTGTAGTCATCATCTTGTAAATGCATTACTTAAAACAATGACTGCATCTACTAATACTTTTGCTTCATTAGTATCAGCACATAATCGTATAGAATCAACATCAAATGCACTTGTACCACATAATCCATTAAAGTTTGTATTAAAATATATTATTTTTATATCTTTAATAACGAAAGAATTACATAATTATTAAATTAGAGAAAAATTTATAGAATAAAAAAATATAGCCTATAAATATATGAACTGAATTTCCCTCTCTTTCGACTTTCAATATAGTTCAAATCAGATGTAATTATGATATAAATTTTTTTACTATGTACCATTTATACACAATAGATTAAATGAAATTATCTAATTTTTCTTTATTAATAACTATATAGACAATTGAGATAATGTGAAAATAATAAATAAAATTTATTCTATATGAAAATTTGATTAAAAAAAAATTAAAAAATTTTTTCATCAATGTTATTTGTAAAAAAAAAATTTTTTTTCTACTAGAAGAAGATCAAAACTGATATAGAAAGTTTTTTTTTTTGTCTAGTTCATTACAAAATCTTACAAATGATATTCCAGAAATTGTTAAACATACATATCATTGTTATTCACGTGATGAACCACGTCAAATATATAATAGTACTGATATTCGTTTACTTGTACGAGAAATTCAACGTGCTTATGATCTTTTATCACGTATTAATGAAATGCGTCATGGTACACTTGGTTCAGCACTTATATCAATTGAAAATGAATTAAATATTGAAATATCACGTTATCCACAATCAAAATTTCTTCCACGTCCACCTAATCATGAACAACCACTTTTTTTTCCTCAACATTTTATTGAACAATCATCAATTATATATACTCGACAATCACGTGGTATATCAAATTCAACAATAGGACGACCATCATCATCACGATCACATGGAAAAACAACAAATGTTCGTTTTAATGATACTGTTAGTATTGCTGGTCGTTCTATTGCATCATCATATAAAACAGCCAGTTCTTCGATTAAAAATGTATGTTTATAAATAATCTGCCCTTTTTGTTTTTTGTAAATTATCGAAGCCTAATGATCGTAAACAAAAAGTGAAATAACTATCAGATAATATTATTTAAGACTTATAAGAGAGTATATTCATTGAAGTGATATTTTGTTCATTAATAGAATTCAGTGAAACTAGAAAAAGTTTGAAAAGATTTCTCTTTATAGATTTTTTCATATGGAGTTGTTTGCTCATAAATAGGATATGCTCAGAATGAAAAAAAAATATGTGAACTGATTAGATTATAACTTTGAGAAATAAGCAAATCTGAAAGTTTTGAGATGAAATGTCTGTTCATTTGTCGATTGATTAAGATGGTCAGTAGAGTATAAAATATTGATCTAAAATCCGAGTTTCTAAATCTATCCTGGTCGAGAAGTACGGAAAGGTTCTCGTAGAAAAACACCGGAAATTGACGGAACATGGAAGCAGTATTCCGGTGGCCGAATTTATCCAGTTCCGGACGGAATCCACAAGAATTTGGCAAAATCGACAGCCGAATTCCTGACATTTTTCCGGAGGGTTCCGGCTGAAAACGGTGTCTTTTCCGCTGGAAATTCACGGAATACTGCTTCAGGAATCATCTACCTGGGATAGGTTCGAAATTTTTATTAGACTCAGTTATAAGTAAATCTTTGAAATCATAAAAAACCACATTCAAATTGATTGTAATTGACAAGATTTTATTCTTTTATAGCGCGATTCAAGTACAGGTAGACAAAAACAAGAACATCCATTACCTGTTTTATCAAGTAATAATCCTGCTGTCTATCGTACATCAGCTAATTGGCTATCTCAACATGGTTTATATGCTAAAAAATTAACATTATTTCAAATTCTTGCTCCTAATGCTTATTCACCATGTGAAGATTATATTCCAATACTTGGTAAAACAGTTACATCACAAGTACATGAACGTGCTATGGTACAAGTTGATTGGCATGATGGTACAATAAAAAATGTACATGTTGATTTATCAGGTTTATATGAATATCAAAAACGTTTAAAAAAATTAGTTGAATTATATGAACAACGTATGGAATGGTTATGTACATCATCTCGAAAAATATTTGGAAGTATTGTAGAAAATAATATTATTTTACTTGTTGATTGTTCATTATCAAATCGTGATTATATTATACATATACAACATTCATTAAGATTATTACTTGAACAACAATTATTTGGTAGAAAATTTTTTAATATTATTGCATTTGGTACAAATCATAAAGATGGTTTATTAAGATTTAAACCAACAATGGTACAACCAACAATTGAAAATCTTCAAAATGCATGGCAATGGGTAAGATAATATATTATTTTATTTAAATAAATTAAAAGAATTAAAATTAAATTTTTTTTTCATAATCAAGAATTTTTATTATATGAATATTGTTAGAAGTTCTATTTAGATAGTAGAGTCTTTATTCAATTCATTTGAACATAAAATTAATTGTACTACGTTACAGAAGCGTTATTAAATGATAGTCTTTAAAAAAAAAGAAGGTTACAAATACCTATCACAAGACGAAAAAGAAAAAAACAACTAATATTTTAATATCTTTTGAATGTTATATTGAAAATATTTTTTTTAGGTTTTAACATTAAATTGTGGTGGTACACGTAATCTTCTTCATGCATTACGAACAATTTATGAAAATGAAGAAGAACGTAAACATCATTTATATCCTGAAGGAATTTATTTATTAACAAGTGGTATACCAGATCAATCACTTGATATATGTTGTACATATATTGAA